ACAAAAGTCAGGAAAGATCTAATGATAAACAGAGACTGAAAGTGGCAAGACAAAACTAGACATTTCATGTAAATATGAATCAAATGAGAGAAGAGGTCAAAATATTACACAAAACACATCTTAAGTCAACTGTCGTATTTTATGAAATATACTTGAAGTCAAACTCCAAATAGACAAAGAAGAATTTTATTTTATTTTTTTGAGATGGAGTTTTGCTCTTGTTGCCTAGGCTGGAGTGCAATGGCGAAATCTCGGCTCACTGCAACCTCCACCTCTCGGGTTCAAGCGATTCTCCTGCCTCAGCCTCCCTAGTTGCTGGGATTACAGGCGCCCACCACCACACCCAGCTAATTTTTTGTATTTTTAGTAGAGACGAGGTTTCACTATATTGGCAGGCTATATTGGCAGGCTATATTCACTATATTGGTCTCAAACTCCTGACGTCAGGCGATCCACCCACCTCAGCCTCCCAAAGTGCTGGGATTATAGGCATGAGCCACCACGACTGACTCACAAAGAAGAATATTAAACAATAATAGATTCATTTGCCGGGAACCAATGACAAATCTGTATATAGATTTTGTGTGTGTGTGTGTGTGTGTGTGTGTGTGTGTGTGTGTATCTCACATTAAGTTTCCAAATATATAAAGCAAATATTGTCAGAATGAAAGAAACACATAGAGAGCAATATAACTATAGTAGAATATTTTAATACTTCACTTTCTGTAATAAAGATTTTAAAAAGACAAAATATTGGTAAAGAAACAGAGGACCTGAAGGGAGCATAAAACAATTATTTATAACAGAGGCATAGAGAACACTCCTCAACAACATCACAATAAACAGCCTTCTCAATACCTCCTACAACATTCTCCTTGATAGACAACCTGGTAGACCAAGAAAGAAATTTTAACAAATTATTTAAAACTGAATTTTTATAGATTACTTTCTATGACCAAAATGAGAGTACAGAACAGTAAGAAGAAAAAACTGAAAAATTCACAAATACATAGAAATTAAACACTACATTCTTGAACATGCTTGTTGAAATGTTAAAATAATTCATGCTGTGAAGATGTCCATCCTGCTCAATGTAATTTACAGACTTAATGCAATGTTGTTCAAATTTCTCATTGCATTTTTGAAGAAACAGAAACAGCAACCCCCAAAGTATATAAAGTCTTAAGAGATAAGAGTACCCAAAAATCTGCAATAAAAAAAACAATTTTAAAGGCATTACAGTTTCTGATTTTGAAACACATTACAGAGCTACAGAATTATAACAATTTGGTATGAGTATAGAAGTAAAAATGTATACTAGTAGAACAGAATGCGGCACATATATAAACTTTCTCATATATGATCATATAGGTCATTTGCATACCTGTAATTATTGCATCATTGTTACTGAGAGCCAATAGGTAAAAGCAGTGCAAATTTGTCACCAAATTACTCAGTAGATATAATTTAAAATACAAAATACTTAAATATCACCTAGTATTTAAAAAGCACAAAATATTCTAACAACTATAAAGCTTGATGACATTGTGCAAAATAAAATGAGCCAGTCACAAAAAGAGAGATTGTATGAGATATACGAAGCAGTTACACTCTTAGAGAAAACAGAGTGGTGTTTGAAAAGTGCCAGGAAATGGGTAAAATTCATAGTTTTTTAATGGGTATTGATATTTAGCTTTGCAAGATAAAAACATTCTAGGAATATGTTGCATAACAATGTCAATATAATAGGACTAAAATAAATATTTAAAAATATTCTATTGTAAATGTTATATGTTTTTGACAAGTAAAAATAGACAATACCTAAAAGAGACACAGAGTTATGACAGTTTCTACATTATCTTTAAATAGAAAAGTTTTTCTCCCATACAAAAATAATACAGATTCATGAATAAATACATGTTGAAACTAGGAGAATTTCTATGACTGCTCACCTAGACAAGATTAAATAACCATTCACAACAAACCTATACCAGAAATATAAAAAGAACAGGGAAAATATTTATACGGGTAAACACAGAGATTGTTATATTGGTAGTAGACATATGGCTGATTCATATTTG